ACTCATTGCAAGTCTTCCTCATATTATATATATAATAAGTAAAATCCAATCACATGGTAATGCCTCACTAGTAAACCTCACTTTCAATATAACCTCACTCTCGTGCCTTTTCTTTGGCTTTAAGCTTGCTCGTATCTCGATTTTGATCTCAATTGATACATACATCATTTACAAATTATGTTCAAATTTCAAATTATATGTTAGTATCATACTAACATAAGTATATTAGAAATAAATTCATAAAAATGCTTTCGATATTGATTCGATACTAGTTCCTTTTCACAACCTCGACATTATCTTTGATACTTCAAAATGACACTTCAAGTCCTTTAATATTCAGAGTCATCAGTAGTTCACATGAATTTTTGAATTTCACATTTCATCACTAATTTTAATTATTTTAAAATTTATCTCAATATTTCCAAATTTTCAAAATGGTCCTTGCCATTTAACTTATATTCAAGCTTTTAATAACATAATTAAACATTCTAACATTTAATTCAAGCATGATACATTAACTTTTGAACAACTTCCATTTCAAACTCATATTTTCCATAATCTATGATTTAATCCCTAAAGTTATAGAAACTTCCAATTGGTCTAACATTTAAAGTTTGTATTTTTATCTATTCATCATTTCTAGCCTTAGAGAAAATTTTCCTAATTTTCCCTTAGGCCGAATATTAAGAGTCATTTTTGTCATTGTCTCCAACTTGATTCAAGCATGATTTTATATTCTAAACGTCATTCCAATCAACTACAACCAATTCCATATCATTTTAATTCAAGCAACCAATTCCGTGAAAAACCCTAAGTGGCCAAACTTTTATATATTGATCCATTGACTTCATTCATCTTTCAAGCATGAAAATTATTCTATAACATCGAAATATAAACTCCCCTTCATCCACCATATTCATGAAACTAAGGATTCAAGCAAGGAAAGCTTGAACACATGGTATCAAATAATAGAGAATTTTATAGGTTAATTTCTTATTTCATGCTTTCTTTCAAAAATAAAAAATATCTTAAAAATGGAAAATACATTTATTACCTATGGAGGAACTCACGATAGCAGCTTGGAGAAGATGAAGAGTTTTCATGAGTTTTCTAATAAAAATCTAAGTATACTGATCATTTTAAGGATTAAAATGAATAAAAAAATCATTTAACGAAAAATGAAAAATACCTCATGATAATTACTATGCCACATCATGATATCGTTATCCTTACATCATCAAGTCAAATATGAACAAACATTTTCATACTTTCTACCTCCCTACATTTTTCCAAAAAGTACAATATTGTCATTTTAATCCAACGATCCCTATTTAACATGAAATTAAACTTAAATACAATGATCCATGTTAATTTTACTAATTTAAAATATTGAAATAAATTATTAACCTACTTTCATCCTTCAAAATTTCCTGAATTTTTTATTTGATCTGAGTATCCGAATATTTTGCCAAAATATATCGCTTTATAACTTTTAATACAAACTTCATCTAAAAAATCCAAGTAATACCAAACCATCACTCTTGGGGGTAAATTATTCATTTACAAGATAATTTATGGGAAAATTACTATTTTGGTCCTTAAACTTTTTGTAAATTTTCACTTTGGCCACTATACTTTCAAAATATTTTTAGTCATAGCCAAAATTTGTGATATTGCACTTTCACTTTAGACTCCACCTCTTTCAGTATGTGCTAAGAGAGGGGAACATGGTTGCTGGATGATCTAGCAAAATTGGTATGTAACTTACCCTTCAAATTTCACCTATTTTAGTATATACCGAGAGAGGAAACATGGTTGCCGATGAGCTAGCAAAGTTGACATGGAATTCACATTTTAGATTCTACTTTTTCAGTATGTGCCAAGAGAGAAGAACATGGTTGTTGATGAGCTAGCAAATTGACATGAAATTTACCCTTCATATTCCACATGTTTCAGTATGCGTCAAGAGAAAGAACATGGTTTTGATGAGCTAGCAAAATTCACATGATACTTACCACCTATTTTAGTATGTGTCAAGAGAAGGGGATATGGTTGTTGATGAGCTAGAAAAGTTTACATGAACTTAAATTCCACCTGTTTCAATATGTGCCAAAAGAGGGGAATATGGTTGCTGATGAACTAGTAAAATTGACATGAAACTTATATTTTAGATTCCACTATTTCAGTATGTTGTAAGAGATGGGGACATGGTTCTGATGAGCTAGTAAAATTGACATGGAATTTATCCTTCATATTCCACATATTTCAGTATGTGCCAAGAGAGGGGAACATGGTTGCTGATAAGCTAGCGAAATTGACATGAACTTACCCTTCAATTTTCACATGTTTTAGTATGTGCTAAAAGAAGGGAACATGGTTGCTGACGAGATAGAAAATTGTCATGAAGTTTACCCTTCAGATACATGTATCAAAATGTGTCAAGAGATGGGAACATAGTTTTCGACGAACTAGTAAAAATGACATGAACTTACCCTTTAGATTCCATCTGTTTCAGTAAGTGTCAAAATAGGATAATATGGTTATTGACGAGCTAGCAAAATTGACATGAAACCTATTTTTGACATGAAACTTACCACAAGTTCAAATATGTGTCAAGAGAATGGAACATGGTTACTCCACCTATTTCAATATGTACCAAGAGTGGATAATATGGTTACTGATAAGCTAGCAAAATTGACATGAAACTTAGCCTTCAAATTCCACCTGTTTCAGTATGTGCCACGTATGTGCCAAAAGAGGAGATATGGTGCTGATGAGCTAGTAAAATTGACATGAAACTTACCCTTTAGATTCCACCTGTTTCATTATGTGCTAAGAGAGGGGAACATGATTGTTGATGAAGAAAAATTGGTATAGAACTTACCCTTCGGATTTACCTATATTAGTGTATGCCAAGAGAGGGAAACATGGTTGTTGATGAGCTAGTAAAATTGACATGGAATTTACCCTTCAGATTCCACTCGTTTCAGTATGTGCGAATAGAGAGGGGAACATGGTTGATGATGAGCTAGTAAAATTGACATGAAATTTACCCTTTAAATTTCACCTGTTTTAGTATGTTCCAAGAGAGAGGAACATGATTCCTGATGAGCTAACAAAATTGACATGGAACTTACCCTTCAGATTCCATTGTTTCAACATGTACCAACAGAGGGGAACATGGTTGATTATGAGCTAGCAAAATTGACATGAAACTTATTTAAGTATGTGCCATGAAAGGTGAACATAATTGTTGATTAGCTAGCAAAATTGACATGGAACTTACCCTTCAGATTCCACTTGTTTCGGTATGTGCCAAGAGGAGGGAACATGATTGTCGACGAACTAGCAAAATGACAAAACCTTATCCTTCATACACCATCTGTTTCAGCAACCACCAAGTACGGTGGAACAACTGCTACCTGTAGAGAGTTGCATGTTGTAAAAGCGGCAATAGTTAGCTAGTGCTTAGCTTCTTCTTGGTTTGATACATCCTTCCATTAAAAATATATTAACATAACTTAAATTGTAAATGCAAAATTCTTTATATTTTAAATTAAAATAATATTGTAACAATATCACCTTAATAATTTATTAATTTAATTAAGCCATCTTAAAGTATACATAAATATATTAACATTTGAACTTCAAATTGTAATTACCTCAATTAAAAAAAATGTTTATGTTAATCGAAAATCAAAAATATATTATCACATTAAAATATTAAAATAATTAAAAAAGAGTATCTAAATAACATCACAAAATCATAAACTTTAATCTTAATCTTTTCTTTCATTAAAAGACATATATTTAAACATGCGATCACCAAAATCTTTACGGTAAAACTTTAATCTTAATCTTTTCTTTCATTAAAAGACAATTAAGTGAAGTGGATACATGTTTATTTCAAAATTTAATTTTTAAAATATTATTTATTTTATTAATTGTATCCATCTTAAATTTGTATTTATACCTACCTTACAAAAATTTGATTATATATTTCTAAATCTATCGACATCTAATCCTAAACCTTACCATAGAAAAACATGAAGGAAATTTATTTCACGCATTAATAATTAACCCACTCAAGGGAGTGTTGTACTCTTAAGGCCCCATAATCGAGATACGTCTGCAAGATATGTGATTTTATGACAAAATTCCCTTCTCCACTGATGGTGTCACTAGTACTTTTGCAGTCCCTCCCCATGGATAGTTAAGTTACATCGAGACCTCCACGGTCGCCCTTTTTAGACAATAGTCTTTGTATTGGTTTTTAGCCCTTTCTTTTAAAAAACAAATAAAAAAAAATCTGAATTAATAATACTACTTTCTAATCAGTAATATCCTAGGCTATTCAAACAATAAAAAAGTTAATTGCATTATATGTATTCAAAGTATTATTCTCATTTTAAATTAGTCTCTAAGTTTTTAAATATTCTAATTCCATCTCCAAACTACAACTTTTATTCTAAATTGGTCCTCAAATTTTTTGAATATTCCAATTTCATCACAAAGTATAAGTATATGCTAATCAGATCCCTTGTTAATAAAATTGTAAGGCCAAGTTATGTTATTATATGTTTGAAAAAAAAATAAAATTTTACGTTAAACTATGGTGGAAATTAATTACATATTGATGAGTTTAGGGATTAAACTAGAATATTCAAAATTTTGAGGACCAACTTAGAAATAGGATCATAATTTAAGGATGAAATTAGAATATTCAAAAGTTTAAGATCTGATTTAGAATAAGAATCATAATTTGAGGATGAACGTGAAATATTTAAAAGTTTAAAAATCAATTTAAAACGAGAGTTATAATCAAGGGACATAAAAAAAAACAATAATGGTTAAAATGCCAATGTCTTTTATGGAAGGATGGGCCTGGCCTACCATCGGTACTTTCTAAAGGTGGTCGATTGATGCAGATGAACTGTAATTAAATAAATACAGGAAGGACGTGGAGAGTGTAGCACCCACCCATTCTCCCTTGGAAGACCTCTGAGATCTGTTAAATGAAGCTTGAAATTGCAATCCCTTGCATCGGGGTTTCATTTAACTCAAAAAATGATGAGGTTTTTCCTTGGCACCCACCCACAATTAATGGCCATTCCCATGAGATTCCAGGCTTTGCTTCCTTCGCTTCTGCCCTCAAATGGGAAGGCGGGGTTTCCATGGTTCAAGGTGCTTCTCGAGGAATCGGTCTCGAATTTGTGAGTCTTCTTCTGCATTCTCTTCTTTGTTTTATTTCTATTTTTGATTTTTTTAATGGAAGGATGTGATTATAAAGCAAATCTGTTCAGAATTTTTCTTTAACTATTGACGATACAATATAGCTGCTCAAACTTGGTATCTCTAGGGAGAATAACTCTCCACTTAATCATGATTTCTTTTATTTTTCTTGTTTTGCTTGAATTGCCCTTCACATTTTATTCTCTCTCATGTAACGTTAAAATAGTTAAGTGAAAACTAATTGGAATTTTGGGAAGAATACAATTGCATGCACTAGATTTTTTTAATTAACTAGACAAGCGATTCTTTTGTTAGAAAATAGTTGTATTTCTTCTAAAGTGTGTATTACATAGGTGCGACATGTTTGGGAAATCAGTGCAAATGATGCCTCCACTGAATTGATCTAATTAGAGCATCCCAATATGCGAGAAGGGGTTGAATTGGAGTATTTACGGGTGTAATTTCTAATAATGATTTTTTATTTTATTTAGTTCATTTTTAACTACTGGGTCCATCAAATTCTCTGCGATTACATTTGCTAAACAAATATGCATATGAATTATAATTTCTTGTGATTAACAGAAGTTGTAATTACTACCCTAGTGATTATATTTTCTTGTGCAAACACACTCTTAAATCTTAATAAATTCTATTCAATGGTCTAATAGTCTTACCAAGTGCTATGTATTTCATTGTTGGTTAAAGCATCTAGGCAGTTCTGGTATTATAGTTATGACTTTTAAGTGCAATTTAGTCCTTATATTCGCATCTGAGTAGTATTTGATCCTTGTAATTTTAATATTATTGCAAACAAGTGAAATTGGTGTAGCTGCTTACAGATATCCATTGAAACGCTGAAGTGGATTTCTTGAATTTGATTATACCGAATTGTAGATGAAACCTTAGTGGCAACATAATTTTTACTATTAAAGAACATATGCTGTCACATTTGAACTCATATCATCATATTTCAAAAGTATATGCCAGCATTTGACAATTTTCTATTAATACCTGTTATCAATTTTATTTGTTTGACAATGATGATTAAAGTATTTAAGTAGTCTGTGTACCATTAATACCTTATGATCCTATTTACTTTATGCATGTTCTAGTGACTCATTCACCAAGCTCAACATCATGTCCTTGTGACACCATTTTTTTTGTTGTCATACTGAATGGCTATATAGCTCGTAGATCTGTATTTATACTTACTGCCAGCAGGATGATGGTATGGTGTTAAAGAGTTACATGTTTTCTTGGTACTTTTAAGCAGCTACAGTAGAATATTTGGTTATGAGGAGCGGGGATTAGTTTTCAGTCTTGTGTAATTTGCATATATTTTAATTGGAAGAGGCAACTTGATTTTGAAATGTTCACCTGTTGATTCAGGTTAGACAATTGCTGGGAAAGAACAAAAAGGGGCAAGTTATTGCCACGTGCCGTGATCCTACTAAGGCAACAGGGCTTCTTGAATTAAAAAATCAGTTTTCTGAACGCCTTAATATTTTACCATTGGATGTGACGGTTGAAAGTACTATAGAGGTTCATTTTCCGATTCTGTTTCTTCCATTTTATTCGTCTTCTTGCATATCAAATCCATGTTACCCGGACTTTGAGTAAATGTTGGATGCGAGTATGTGTCCTACACGAGTACTTTTTCTAATTTTTTATAATAATTTTGGAGGAGTTTACCCCTATACATATGCTTGAATATGTTTCGAACACTATGATATATATATTTACTGTAGGAAAAATGAAGAGTCCATGAAGAATAGTGTCAAATATGTCAAAAATGAGACTGAACTTTGACGTATGATGCCTCAGGAGTCTGCAAGATCTATAACAGAAAGATATGGCTCTCTTAACCTTCTCATTAATGCATCAGGCATTCTTTCAATACCCTGTGTATTGCAACCAGGTTTGGCTTTCTGCCATTGCTTTTAGTTTTTTAGGCTTTAACATCATCAGTGTCTTGCATCTGTAGATCAGATCGGGTTTCAAAAAAATCCCTTAAAAGCTTAGATCTACGACCAAAGTGGCAGCTTTCACCTCACTAAAAGCTCCATTTCCGCCAGTCCAAACGAAATCCTTTCATATTTTTTTTTATCTGGGTTCTGCTTGCTTCCACAAACGCAGACAAATATCGCATAAAAGGAGGAACTTCTAGGCCGGGACTGGGATCTACTTTCGCTACCCACCTACGCTTATCCTTTTGCTCTCTTCCTTTGCTTTTAGCTCCGCAAATCTTCAGATCTACTCTTTCACTCACCTGATTTTCGTTTCTCGGAAGCTGGAGATCCAGAAAGGAAAGTGTGGAACCTTCTCTCTCTCCCGATATTCGTTGGAGTTACTTTTGCTTTTTACAGGTGAACGTTACCGCAACCATATTCCACCGGTGATCTCTACAGGTGACTCCGGCTACCCCATTAAAGTTCCACAGCAGAATCTTCGTCGGAAAATAATCCCGCCAAAAAAATAACAACTACTTCTTACTTGCCGGTCAGGTACATATAGTAGTTGGCCAGATATTTAAACGTATTATGCTACTTTTACGACTAGTTTTGATTCTGTATTAATAGTAGGTGTATCTATGTGATTGTTTAATATTTTTATTTTTGGAATTATCACTTACTACACTATTTTAATCATATTTATATTACTTGATATTAAATTAAAAATCATTATAAGGCACTACTGGATCTATATTTTGCTATATTGCTCTGGGTAGGAGTTACTAGATCATTTTTTTTTTTTTTTTTTTCATTGTCCTATACCTCTAGTATCTTATATCATTATTTATATTTCAAATTGAGTATATCTGTTATAAATATTTATAAACTGTTTTTGCTTTTTGGGTGTTGCATTTTCGGGCCTGAGGATTTTCAGAAAGGTTTCTTCTTTGGATATTCTTTTTCATAGTCCCACATAGCTTCGATTATAGATGATTACGTGAGGTCATGTCATTCTTTTAGATCCCATAGGGCGTATAGGGGGAGGGCTCAACGGAGTGGTGTCAAGGAGACTAGACTTAGAGTTTGTTCGTTAAATGTAGGCACATTAAATGCTAGGCTGCTGGAGCTGACCGACGTACTTAGTAATAGGAAAATAGATTTTGCATGTATTCAGGAGACTAGGTGGAAAGGGGCTCGCGCCAGAGAGTGTAATGGGTACAAGTTGTGGTATTCAGGAGTAGATAACGCTAGAAATGGGGTGGGTATCTTGGTATCCTCTAGTCTCAAGGAAAATGTTGTTGAAGTTTGTAGATACCGGGATAGGATCATGATGATTAAGGTTATTATAGAAGCGGAAGTGGTTAATGTCCTTTCAGTGTACGCTCCACACGTTGGCCTAGGGGAGGGGGAGAAACGTTGCTTCTGGGATCAGTTAGATATTGTACTTAGGAGCATCCCGGAGGACCAAAGAGTTTTCATAGGGGGAGACTTCAATGGCCATATAGGTAGTGCAATCGACGGGTATGACGGTGTTCATGGAGGTTTCGGTTATGGTAACAGGAATGATGAGGGGCGTACGTTGCTTGATTTTGCTACTGCTCACGACTTAGTGATCACTAACTCCTTATTTAATAAAAGAGATGCGAACTTGATTACGTTTCACAGTGGGGGACATTGTACCCAAATCGACTACATCTTGGTTAGAAATCGGGAACGATGGGCTTGCATTGACTGTAAGGTGTTCCCTGAAGAGGCATGTACTTCACAACACAAATTGTTGGTTTTGGTGTTCCGCGTACCCAACGGGCGGAGCACGCATAGGAGGGCTAAACTGGGTAAACCTAGGATCCTCTGGAAGAACTTACATGGAGCGACAACTGATGACTTTAGGAGTAAGCTTTTATCTAATACAGGTTTTGAAACTACAAACTCAAATAACGCAGATATGTTATGGAAAAATATGGCAAATTCCATCAGAGAGGTGGGCAAAAAAACCCTTGGGTTGTCGACGGGGAAGGCCAAGGAACATAAAGAATCGTGGTGGTGGAACGACGAAGTCCAAACTAAGGTGAAGACAAAACAAACTTGCTTCAAGGAGTTTCTTCAATGCAATGACGACGAAGAAAGGTCGGGAGCTAAACAAAGATACCAGGAGGCAAAGCGGGAAGCCAAGAAAACGGTAGCTAAAGCAAAGGATAAGGCATATGAGGAAATGTACAAGAGATTAGACACTAAGGAAGGACAAAATGGCATATTCAGACTTGCAAAATCTAGGGAGACTAGGAAAAAATCTAGGTAACATTAGGTTTATTAAGGACAACAATGGTGTTCTTTTAACGAAAGAACAGGATATTAAGAGGGTTTGGGGTAGTTACTTCTTTGGCTTATTTAATGACGGTGCCTCTCCATGTAGAGATAATATCGTTGTTGGGTCAGCCGACCATCATACTACGGCCAATGACTGCCCTACAAGTAGGATTGGGTTTGAGGAAGTCAAAATGGCTCTTAAAAATGGGAAGGGAGAAAGCTGTCGGTCCTGATCAAATTCCTATCACTGTGTGGTTAGCCTTAGGTGAGGAGGGAGTTAAGTGGTTGACCAACATCTTTAATATTATTTAGAGACTGCCAAGATGCCAGAGGAGTGGAGAGAGTCTACGGTGATACCAATTTATAAAAATAAAGGAGATCCCCAACGTTGTGGTAACTACAGAGGTATTAAACTACTCAGCCATACCATGAAGCTATGGGAAAGGGTGATAGAGGCTAGGTTGAGACAAGTCACTAGGGTTTCGGAAAACCAATTTGGCTTTATGCCAAACAGATCTACCACGGAGGCGATTCATCTACTTCGACGGCTTATGGAGAAATATAGGGAAAAGTCTAGAGATCTCCACATGGCGTTCATTGACCTTGAGAAGGCCTATGATAGCGTTCCTCGCGATACGATATGGAAGACTTTGGAAACGAGACGGATACCAACTGCTTATATCCGGACGATTCGTGATATGTACTGTAGATCTACTACTTACGTCAGGACTACAGTTGGCGACACCGAGGCATTCCCGGTGGAAATCGGACTCCACCAGGGGTCGGCTCTTAGCCCTTACATCTTCGCCTTGATTATGGACGACATCTATTGTGCGACACCAGACGGTGTACCTTGGTGTATGCTTTTCGCTGACGACATTGTCTTAGTGGCTGAAACAAAATCTGAGTTGAATAGCAGACTGGCTACCTGGAAGACTGCTTTGGAAGAAAAAGGTTTAAGGATCAATATTGAAAAGACAGAGTATTTATGTTCAAACTTCAGTGGGAACCAAAATGATGAAAATGTAGAAGTATGCATCGAAGGACACGTTCTTCCCTCAAAGGATTGTTTCAAGTACTTAGGGTCTATGATACATAAAGATGGGGGTGTAGATGATGACGTTACACACCGTATAAAGGCGGGATGGCTAAAGTGGAGGGCTGCTACTGGAGTTTTGTGTGACAAGAAGGTGCCTCTAAAACTTAAGGGAAAATTTTATAGAATGGCAATTAGACCAGCGCTGTTGTATGGATCAGAATGTTGGGCACCCAAGAAGGATCACGTTAGGAGGATAGAGGCCGCAGAAATGTGAATGCTTCGATGGACATGTGGTAGGACTCTGTGGGATATGACGACAAACTCTGCTATTAGGATGTCCTTAGGGGTGATGTCTGTTTCCGAAAAAATGAGGGAGGGAAGACTACGGTGGTTTGGACACGTCCTTAGGCGACTACCGTCGGATGCGGTCAGGAGGGTAGAGTCGATTACAGTCGACGGTGCCAGAAGGAAAGGACGACCAAGGCGGAAGTGGGATGACTGCTTGAGATCTGATTTGAGGGATTTAGGCCTTACCGAAGACATGACCTATGATAGGAAATTATGGAGGCTTAAGACTAGGGTAGTCGAGTAGTGTGGGTCACATCTATAGGGTGTATCATCTTTGTCTTCTTTTAAATACATTTGTAGTTATTTCCTTGACTTTTACTTTTTATACTTTTCTGTTATTGGTATTTATGAAATATTAGAACTGGGCTTGCTATCGTTGTCTCATGTGTATCATTCTCATCATGTTTCCTATGTTAATTTTAGCCGGGTCTTAGGTTTCTGTCTATATGCAGAGACTCTTTCGCAGGGATTATTTTGCAGGGATTTACTCCCCATTACAGAAGCACATATGATATTAATGACTGCATATGAATACTGTTTAGCTATGTATTTATGTAATTATTTATACATGCATTGCATTTTATCTATATTTTTAATTTTCTGACTGCCGGAGGTCTTTCACGGGAAGCTATTCTCAACCTGGCGTTGGGGGCAGCCTACTACCCTACCTCCCCCTTACCCCATACATATGGGAATTGGGTTTTGTTGTTGTTGTTGTTGTTGTTGTTGAGTGTCTTGCATCTGTACTAAAAGAGGAACTGAAGTTCTGCCCCTACACTTTCTTCCCCTCTTCATCTTTCTCTTGTTTTTCAATTTAATGCATAGGCGGATGAATAAACTCCCTTGATTCAAGTGCAGAAACAACACTGAGCAAAGTACAAAAATCATCCATGATGCTTGCTTATGAGGTTAATGCTGTGGGTCCTATTTTAGTTATGAAGGTATGTTGACTTCGCTTTAGTTTTCTTTTTCTTTTCCTTTTTTAATATAGAGGACTTCTCTTTGGATTTCAACTTACAAATGACTCTGAATGTTCTATAAATGCCCCAGTTGAGTTCTTTCAGTTAGGGAAGCTATTTGCAGTCCAACTACGTTCTGTTATCATTGTTGTCTATAATGATAAAATGCTTGATCTTTTCTTCTGGCAGAATTTCTATGGTTGTCAACTTGTCATTTTGTTTAACATATTTTGGGGCGTAACATTTATCTGCAGTCACTAACCCAAACTAATGTCATTTTTTTTTAACTCTAGCTTCAGCTTGTAACAACTGATATACAAAACTTTGCAGCTTTTCTAAAATGGCACCATTTTACCATTATTCATTAAAAAAGAAAAGAGAAAACCTGGGCAGTAATTCTGATCTAGCAGTCACCTTAGCTTATTGTAGGATAAATTTTTGCTATATAAAGGAAACACATAAACTAGTAGCGCCCCCCCCCCCCGGCGGAAATTTTAGCTGGTTTCTGGCTTAAAATTCTCATATGCCTTGTATTCAAAATTTCATTGCTTTTGCTGTGGAGGAATGAATTGTGGGATTTGCATAGGAAGGAGGAAAGCATCTGGCTTCAAAAGTCACGACTTAAGTGGATAAAGGATGGGGATAGAAATACTAGATTTTATCATTTATGTGCTCTAAATAGGAGCAGAGTGAATTCCATTTCGACGCTGAAAGTGTATGGGGAGGACACTGCTGATCCGAATCAGATTAGAGCAGCCATCGCAGATTATTTTAAAGTGAATTACCTATCCAGCTCAGTTGGTAGAGCACAAGGCTCTTAACCTTGTGGTCGTGAGATCGAGTCCCATGGTGGGCAATTCATAATTCGGAGGTTTCTCACGGAAGTTGCTCTCAACCTGGTGTTTGGGACAGCCTACTATCCTACCTTTCCTTTACCCATTACATATGGGAATAAGGGTTAGCTAATTTTTTATAATGCGAATATAACTCTGGAGGTGGATGAAATCAATTTGAATTTTGCTAAATTGTCTGATGGCCAAAAGGAGGGTTTAGAGGTTGATTTTAATGAACAAGAAGTGTGGGAAGCTGTCTTTTATTCGGACAGTGCCAAGGCACCGGGTCCGAATGGGTATACTATGGGTTTTTTTAAAAAATATTGGCCTATATTGAAAGATCATGTCATGAAATTTGTCCAAGATTTTCACAGAGGTAAAAAATGGTAAAATGGGGTTAATCCCTCTTTTATTACGCTAATCCCCAAGAAAGTGAATCCTGTGGACATTGAAGACTTTAGACCCATTAGTCTTGTTGACAGTCTCTACAAAATTATTTCCAAAATACTCTCCAAAAGGATGGTTGCGGTTATTAATGGCTTGGTAAGTCCTTCGCAGTTTGCATTTATCCCGGGTAGGCAATTGATTGACTGTGCTCTTTTGGCTAATGAAGACATTGACTATTAGAGAAAATTAGGGAGAAAAGGAGCTGTTTTCAAAGTTGATTTCCGTAGGGCTTCTGATTCGGTTGAATGACCTATCTTATTGAGAGTTTTGAAGGTTATGGGTTTTGGGGAAAAATGGATATCATGGATTGAATGTTGTGTTTCTTCAGCCTCAATTTTAGTGTTAGTGAATGGATCTCCTACTGAGGAATTCCACATTAGTAAGGGGTTGAGGCAAAGTTGCAGTTTGTCCCCTCTCTTGTTCAATTTAGTTGGGGAACTTTTAAACTTAATGTTGATCAAGGCTGCTGATCTAGGTCTTTTTCAAGGGTTTAGCATTGGTAGGGTTGATAATTCCTTCTATTTGACACATTTGCAGTTGATCTAATCCTTTTCTGCAGAGATTCTCAAATGCAGATTTTAAATATTAGGAGAGTTTTGAGGGTGTTTGGTGTTATGTCAGGGTAGCATTTAAGAAAACGGGCTGTGGAGTGGGGTCTTTTCCCATGACTTATCTTGGTTTGCCGATTGGTACAAGGAAAAATTCTGAGGGTATGTGGGAACCAGTAATCCAAAATTTTAATAAGAGACTAGCAGGTTGGAAAGCTAATTCATTGTTGATGGCGGGAAGACTCGTATTGGTTAAATCTGTGTTGTCCTCCTTGCCGATTTTTTTCCTTTCTATTTTCAAAAAACCTCTCAAAGTGACTCAGAAGTTGAACTCTCTGATGGCTAACTTCCTTTGGGGAGATGACCATGCTAAGAAACGAATTCACTGGGTGAATTGGAAATCGGGTTGTCAACTTTTGATGAGGGAGGTTTGGGAATTTTTTATTTAAGTTTGATTAATAGAGTCCTGCTTGGGAAATGGGTTTGGAAATTTGCTAATGAAAAGAATAGTCAATGGAAAAAGTTGATTTGTTGCAAAAACAATGTTAGTAGCCTGTCTCTTTCTATTTCAAGTGCTGCTTCACCTTCAGATTCTTGGGTATGGAGAGGTATCTTGAATAGCTATGCGAAAAATGATAAGATTGGAGAATGTTTGAGAGATAATTCAAGGACCAAGTGGGAAATGGTAGGTCGATAGCTTTCTGGACTGATGTTTGGGTTACTAATTTGTCTTTAAAAAATCAATTTCCCTGAATTTTTGCTTTGTCGACTAATAAATGGGGAAAGGTATTTGAGTTTGGTGAGTTTGTAAATAATGTTTGGGTCTAAATAATGTTTGGGTCTGGAATATTCAACTAAGAAGAAACCTCTGCGATTGAGAATTAGAACAGTGGATTGAATTAATGACATTGATCGACACTATTAAGCTTTCTGGTTCTGTGGATGATTTTCTGGGCTGGTCGGGAAAGGGGGATGGCTTGTTCTCGGTCAAGTCTTGTAGATTGATGTTATATGGTAGTCTTGAACGGAGTTTAGAGTGGAATAAGTGGGTCTGGGCTGGATTGGCCCTCCTAAAGTCCAAATTTTTTTGTGGCAGATTTGTCAATGCAAATTAGCAGTGAGAGTGGAATTAAAAAAGAGAGGGATTCCCATGGCGGATGTGCTTTGTCCCTTATGCCATTCCCATGAAGAAACCATAGAACACCTGCTCTTATTGTGTTCTGTTGCTAGGGAAATGTGGATCAATTTTCTAAGGTTATGGGAAATCACTTCTGTTCTGCCACAAGATCCATCAGCCCTTCTTTTTTCATGGCCGGACCTTAGGCAGAATTCTAATATTTGGAGGTTTATCCCGACTGTTGTTTTCTGGTTAATTTGAAAGGCAAGGAATCTGGTTGTGTTTGAAAACGGGAAATTGGACAGATCAGGGCTGTACTTTATTATTAGATTCAGGTTGGCAAAATGGTTTTTAGCAATACACCCTACTGCTTAGATTCAGACTGACCTACTTATAGAGGATCCTTCGAGAGCTGATAAAATTCATCTTTCTTCTACTCCTAAGAAGGTTATTGGCTGGACTCCTCCTCCTTCGGATGTGTTTAATCTGAATGTGGATGGGGCTGTTAGTGGAGATGAGATGCAAGGTGGAATTAGAGGTATTTTGAGAGACTCTAAAAGCTGCTCCTTAGCCTTTTTCTCTTCTGCAGTAGGGCCTGGTCTTCCTATTTTGGCAGAACTGAAAGCTATTAAGGAAGGAATTGATTTCTTCTACTCGTCTGATTGGGCTAAAAAGGGAAGTCTAATTATAGAGAGTGATTGCAAAAATGCAGTGGAGTGGATTCTTAAATTGCAATCTGCCCCTTTCTTTTTCAGTGATCTAGTGGAGGAAATGGTAGCTGCAATTTATGATAAAGGCTGTGTTCTTAATTGGATTCATAGGAGTTGTAATTTGGAGGCTGACAGACTAGCTAAGCAGGGGATTGGTTGACTGTAGAAGGTTTTTTGTTCTATTGTTTTCTGATTTTTATTCGGGTTGTATAGGTTATTACTTTGTAATTTCCTCCCTAGTTTTCGTAATCAGGACGCACCTTCAGTTGCGGGGGACCTAGCTTTCTAGGTTTAGGCCAAGTTAGTGTTGTTGTTTTTGGTTGTTTTAGGGCGTTGTATGGTTTTTGTTTTACACACGGGTGTTGTCCTGGATGTATCTTATGTACTTAAGTTGTTGAATGAAATTCTAAGGCACTCTTTTCCTCTTTCCAATGATTAAGGAGCTTTCTTTCAAGCTCCATTAATTAAGAAGGAGGTTTTTAATGAGACCTTCAATTCTTATAAAAAAAAAATCATTTTTCTTTCCAGCATCTGTTGATTCATAGACATGATATATGCTCTAGATATTTGGTGATACCAACTTGGCAGAAATGCGTACCTTAATTTTTGTTTATCTTCATCACCCATCAACCCAGTTTATGAAAGATCTTTACTTATTGAGTTCTTTTTTTTGTGGTGTAAATGATTTAAGATGTATTTTTTTAATCTTTTTGTTTGTTGAGTAGTAGACAAAGGTGTTGCAATTACAACAATTTAAGGCTTCAAGTTTCTAACTTCGATAAGATTCTGTTTCTTTTTTTATTTTTACATGGAGAGCAATCATGTGTTAGAAATACAAAGGAGAAATTTGCAGAATCGAAGAGTAGGTTGATTTGTTTGTCAATTGTACATGTTTGTCTATTGTACATGTAAAAATGGTTTGGTCTAGTAAGCAGTTCATTTCTATAACCAGTTTTCTCATTTCTGTCAAATTCTTTTACAAATGCTAGTTAAATGATCTATATTGCAAATTTAAGGATGTAGAAGGTTTTGTGGATTTAAATGAAATTTAATGTTGGGTTTAGTGAGCAGGGTGGAATTACTTATATTTTCAGCAAAACTGTAGAAGGTTTTCGTGATTTCATGTCGGATGATTAAGTACTTAGGTTAATAGCTATCTAGTCATGTGTGCAACTTAATTTTCTAATATGCTAATAAATTGTCTTCTGGTCACCAACGTGAGAAAAGGAGCTAGTTGGAGTAAATTAATATCAGTAGCTGTCGCTGCATTAGCTATACGAGGAGGTCTACCATTTAAGTCTCAGCACTGATCCTGGATGGATTTCCCATTCCATAGTGTGTGTATGTTACCTCTACATGCATTGTGACCCTCGCGGTCCCTTAAGCTCTTCGATCACCATGGGAGCTTCTACCACCATCAAATGTACCACCTGTATTTCTCTGTGTTAATTGTGTAGCCAATGCATACTGTTCACTACCTGAACTACTTCAAAGTTCAAATAAGAGTTGATTTTGCGAAAGAAAAACTTGAGAACTCCAATCTTCTCTCATTGTTTCTGTATTTCATGAACATCAAAGAAATAGGTTGGAAGACTATTTAGTTCCTCGTTTTATCATCTTCAAGTTAGCATAATATTCACTAACCAATCTATCATTTTTTTGTCAACTTAAAAAATTCAAGGGAAAGATATAAAAACTTGAGAACTGCCATCTGCTCCCGATGCTTCTGCATTTCATGAGCATCAGAAGATATTGGTTGGAGACTATTTAGGCTCCCCATATACCCTCTTCAACTCAGCAATATCTTTTCCTTTTCTCAACTTAAAAACTTAAAGAGGAAGATCATTATTACCAGTTAGATCACTAGTATAAAACCACTTAAGATGCTTGTATACATGCATGGATTAAGGAGGGTGTACATATTTTCCTCTTGTGGCTCCATAGAAATGCACAAAGAAGATAATATCTTAGCATGTCCGTGTCTCTTCTTCAAATTGTCTCCCCTGTAATAGATTGTTATCTGCCGTGATGTGGAGAATCTAGTCACCATTTTTGTTAAAGATTTTATGCAAGTGGCTTCTTGCAGGAGTAATTTCAAATGAAACGTGCATTGTGTTGAAATGACTACACATTATTGGTATTATATCTTTTACATGTTATGCTTGAATTGAAGTTCGTCATTGTCCTTTGGTCCCAATAGGAGTTGGCTAACAATATCTTAGACATTGCTGTTTGTGATATTGCTGACAGCATATGTGGCCTCTTCTGAAAGTTGGAGGAGGGTTTGGCACTGAAAGGGATGTTGCAGTTGTGGCAAATATAAGTGCCAGAGTCAGTTCCATTGGCGACAATCGTTTAGGGGGCTGGCACTCTTATCGATCTTCAAAGGCTGCACTTAATCAATGTATGATCTTCTTCCCTCTCAAGTCTCTGTAGGATTACAGTTTTCAACAATGAAAAATATAAACTATAGGGAAAAATGTCAGTGTGTCTATTGCTTTCAGTTGTAAACACCTTTTTTCTTCTCTTCTCTTTTCTGAATACGAACTTATATGCTTTGAACTATTTTCGCTGCTCATCCAATATCTACAACGATACACTTGTAGACAAATATAATTTTATCGAACTTTTGTATTGTTTTGTTTGGTATTTGACTTGATCAAGTGCAGTGACCAGAACTATTTCGGTTGAGTTTGGAAGGAAGAAAGAACCGGTTGCATGCATTCTTTTGCACCCAGGCACAGTGGATACCGATCTGTCAAAGCCATTCCAAAGAAATGTTCCAGCAGAAAAGCTTTTTACCAAAGAGTTCTCAGTGGAAAAGCTCTTGAACATTATTAACAACACAAAACAAGAAGACAATGGCAAGTTCTTTGCTTGGGATGGTCAGGAAATCCCATGGTGATTTAGGAATTTCATTTTTCATGGTATAAAAACAACACCAAGAGATCACGTTGACAATTTTTTTTTTATTTTTAAAATATAGTTTAATTGATGGTTAAATTGTCTTTGGTTTATACATTTTATCCAAAAACTTGTACGTTTTTATTGAATTTTCGTTGCTTTGATAATTGTAGATTGCTATGTTCCTAGGCTTCACATTTATTATGTCTCAATGTTATTTTATTAACCTAAAAAATTATACAATGTGTAGTAATTTCAGTTGCAAATGATATGTTACGATAGATTTTAACCTAAAATGTATTTGTCTACTCTAAAAAATTACACAATTGATAATAATTTTGTTTACAATTGAGAATGTCTTGAAGGCAACTTTTAAGAGTTGTAAAAATAATTACGTAATTTACAAGAATTGTTATGAAAAATATAATATTTTTGATTTTAACTTAAAATGATAAATTGAAAAATTATGTTCTTGATAAATTTTTAAGTTACAATCGATTTTTATCTTTTTCTTTAATATTATATTAACGGATTGTATTTTAGACTCATCCTTTCGACAAGCATCCAAAATGACAGAAAATCATCCGCACGAGTGGTGAGTTTGAATAGTAGCAGCAAGTTAATCATATAACAATGACAATGGTTGAACCAACACCGAAACTTTCTATTCTACAGCTGCTCTCAGTTTCGTCTAGCTTAAACCACAATGATTCTTCAAGTACATTTGATGCTGACGCTATATAAGATTTCTCAAATCTTGAATTGACTTCCAACTTTTTGTTTGAGTATGACAAGCAACTTCACTAATTTGAGAATTATGTTCATATATAATGCTTAATGTGTTTACGATGGTTTAAACCAAACTTCTGAAATCATGTTTGAGTTTTCTATTTTATTAGACAATTTAATAAATTTTAAGGGAGTATTGGGTTCAAATAATAATATCTATTGAGTATGTGTGCATTTTTAATAGATAATTTTTTTTATAAATTTAATTTGACATAATCTATCATATATATTGCTACAAAAGGTATTCCACCATATCCATCCTCTCTCCAAATTTCATTAGTTTAAAAGCATTTTTAATTTAACAAACTACATAAGATTAATTCTTATTTCGAAGAAATAATCATTTTAGATACCATATTCAAGTCGTCGTCATCATCCATTTGTTATAACCCTTAAATATTTTATTATAGTCATCTTATTTTTTTCAATGGAAGTCATCTTATTTTTTAAATAAATATAAAATTATCTTTAATTAAACGTAAAAAATATGTTTCTTTAAAAGATAACTATAATAATTGAATTGAAGAAATAATGTACAAACATTACAAGACGTTCATAGAGAAATGATTTTAACAGGATAGTTCTACTGACTGACAATTAATTTAAGATTAATCTAAAGTGGATTTCGACTTCAAAATATCATTATGTTCAAATTACAATGTTATAAAAATTTATAGTATTTTCAATTAGAACCGAAAATATTATATTATAGTATTATTAGAGTTTACGATAGAAAAAAATTATAATAATTTTATTATATATTATTAAAATAAAAATATAATATAATATATTGTTATAATATATATGCGTATATTATTATAATAATATTATATAATTATTAATTAATATACTTTAATAATTAACATTTTTATTAAAATAATATTAGATTATTATATGAATATTAAACCCACAAAATAATATTATTTTAATTAAACATGCTTGGAAGTAGAGGTGGCAAACGGGCCGTTCAGGTCGGGTCATTTCGAGTCTATATTATATTCAGTTTAATTTTATTTGGGTTTGATCGAATTTCGTTCGGGTTTAGCTCTGGTGTATGATAAATCGTGTCAAGTCGGGTATCGGGTAGGTCGATTTTTGTGTGGGTCACTTTTCGGGTTGGGTGATTATCAGATCGATTGCTTTTCGTTTCAGATCAATATTGGTTCGGTTGACTTTTGGGTCGGATTAATATTCGATCGGTTAGATTTTGGGTCGGATTAATATCGAATCGATTGATTTTTAATTGGGTTAAGATCAGATCGATTGATTTTTGGGTTGGGTCAACCTTTGAATGAGGTCAATTCAGATTGAATTTGTTATAAATCTAATTAAGTATATATAGAGTTATTGATATATTCTTGTAAAAATGTTTCCTTGTTTGTTAATCTTATCATTTAGGCTTAATCTGGTTATAAGTCTAATCAAGTATATATAAATTTTTGGTTAAATTTCTTTCGGTTCGGATTAATTTTGGTTTGGGTTACTTTTGGATCGGGTTAAATCCTATTCGGGTTACTTTCGGTTCGGGTTGCTTTCAATTTAGGTTATTTTCGGTTTGAGTTACTTTTGGTTTGGGTTAATTTCAGTTTGGGTTTTTTTTTTGGTTCGGGTCAAATTGAATATGAATCCATATTGGGCCAGCTAAATTTTGGATCGAGTATGGTTTCAGGTTTCTGATCAAATTTGCTCATTATGTTCAAGTTAATATCGAGTATTGGGTCGAGTAAATCGGTTCGGGTCAAATTTTCTAGGTTTACTTTGAAGTGAAAAGTTTAGAAATGACTTACGAAAAATCAAATTGTAAGTCATTTTTTTCGAAAATACAAAAAAGTTCTATTAATAAAAATAAATAAATTACATTAACCAATATGTTTTTTGCTGACTAAACATTAGAAATTAGTGAAAATATTTTCTAAAAAATAATTATAATGAAACAAACATATGTTAAATAAAAATTTGGGTTCATTTTTAAAGACTTTCAACCATTTGACATTGAACGTACATACACCCCACATACGTGGTGCTCGAACCTGAGATCTCAAAGGATAATAACAAACACTTAATCACTAAGATTGCTTGATTCATACTATTTTCATGGAAAACTTGTTTATATATATATATATATATTATGAATTATTCTTGTTATATCACCATGATTTAATCAATATAAATTATGTAACACCTAAATCCCACGGACTCGAATGTCACACGAAACCAACGAAGTGGTTAACCTGAAACCTTTTCCTTGAAACCATACTTACTTCAAAATATTTACACAAGGTATAAAATCATAACAATTTACAGAAACGGGGTCCTCTACATGCCCATTAAGTTGTCATCACTGTACTCTGGTACTCTGCTGAGACTCCTCCAATGATGTCATTGTCCCATCGCACTCCATGAAAGCTAAAACCTGCAAATGAAAACGCATTCCAAACGCGGAGCTTGCAAGCCTCACGTCACACAATACCTCTACCATACTACATGCATTCATTAAATGATCATGCTAACAAACGAAAACATGTGCATAAGAATACACTCAAAAACATGCTGAGGTAAGTCTTGTAATACCCCAAATTTTGGTTAATGACCAAAACATAATTTTTTGAAAGTTTAGTAGACAAAGTATAAATTTAGGAAACATTTAAGGACCTAAGTGGTAATTTTCCTAGAAAGTAATTTTATTCTGTAAATGAATAGTTCACCCCAAGAATGACGTTTTCGTGGGAATCATATTTTTGATCCAGAATTTGTGTTAAAAGCTATAAAGTGTTAAAGTTCGGTAAAAGTTAGGTAAATTGGATCGAATAGAAATTTTGAGAAAATTTGAAGGATGGTTAATTAAGCTTAGAAATATTATTTCCACATTTTAAAATTATTGAAAATATTATGGATCATTGGATTTGAGAATTTATTTCCATGTTCAATTTGGATCGTTGGATGAAAATGGCAAGATTGAAATTTTTGGAAAAGTGCATGGATAAAGCTGTAAAGGGCAAAGTAATTTATTCATATTTGACTTTAGGAAGATGATAATTAACATATAGCTTGGTATAGATGTAATTATCAAGATTCATTAAGGGTGAAATTATCATTTCCCAATTAAAAGAATTTTAAATTCATTTAAGCTTAATAAATGAGAAATTGACATGAAATTAACTAAAATTTCATGAGACTAAGCCCATCTTCATCCTTGTGGCCATGGATCATAAACCCTAGGTAAGAGAAAGTTCATTTTTCATTTTTGAGTAATTTCCTTTGGTTTTTGGATTAAAGCGTGAAATATAAATTTGTTATATTCGATGAGCTCTATCATTTGGTACCATTTATGCATGCTAATCTTGCTTCAGTATTTAGATCCCTAATTTTAGAGTTGAAGAAAATGTTAGTGTTTTATAGTTTGATAAAGGATTTTGAGGTTATTGATATTGTAGAATCATTTCCAATCTTGATTGATGTTTAAAACCACCTAAAAATGCTTCTATTAAATTTGAGCTATCCTAGGGTTTGGGGAAAAGTTGTGATTTGGTTAAATTAGGTTAGGGGTTTGATTGTATAAGCCTTGAAATGCTGTTTAGAGGTGGAATCCATGCTTGAATCAAGTGAAAATCATGAATTCCTATCCTCTATACTATTTGGCCTTGAGGAAAGATTTGGGGAAAATTGTGAAAATTTCCCATGGATTAGAAATGATGTTTGGAAGGTTCTACAAGCCTTAGAAAAATTTTAGGACCATTTTGTAATTTTGTGAAAGTTAGGGACCTATTCTACAATTTTAAAAGTTATGGGGTTAATGTGTAATTGTTTAATAGTTGTTTTACTATGCTGGAATTTTATATTAAAGGGTTGAATTTGATGCTAGAATGTGAAATTTGGACTATTTTGGTAAGTTAGCAAAGTTTGGCCATTAAGTGCCAATTATTGAGAAAGTTAGTGACTTAAGCGGTAATAATGATATTGGGCTAGAAATTAGATGCTGAAAATTTTATTAAGTTGTTTGAGACTTGAATTGAATAAAAATGGAAAGGGACCATTTTGAATTAAAATAAAGTTAAGATGAATTCTAAAAGAGTTCATAAATAGTAGTAATACTTTGGTATTATTATGTGCATAAAATGTTTGTAAGAATACTAACATGTATTTTATATTTGTATGTGTTGTGTATTATTACTTGTGTAGATCATGATAGAACTCGTGATACAAGCAAATCCAAAGGCAAGGAAAAAGTACAAGAGTAATAGGATATTGATAGTAAGGCATAATAGTGAGGCATACCTGATGAGTGCATTTTATTTTGTACATATATGATATGAGGAAGACTTGCGAAGAGTTAACCTCGAGTGTTTTAAAAAGTATGTTTTTAACGCACTATAATAGTTTTTCATAAAGTTTTATAAAAATGATTTTATAAATGATTTTAGGGTATGAACTACACGAAACAAAATGGATATGTCTTTATGATATTTTAGCATCTATGGATGTTTTTGAATAAATATTAATTATGCGATTCAAATATAGAAGCACGTTGTATGTACATTGAGAGTCATAGGTGCACTTGGCATACTTTGAGTAAAGTGGTTATCGATCAATTCTGTTTAATGCATTATTGCATTCCCATATTAGTACATTTAAGTACTCTTGGCATTATGTGTATATCTATGGTGTTCATAATATTTTGAAGTTGTGAATTACCATTTTGATGTATTTGTATACTATCGATGTGTACTGCAATACCTATATTTCTAGTTAGCACTTAGATGCATTTTATGTAACTTGCATTCTCATGTCATACATTGGGCTGTGTATGGATTTTGAGTACTCCAATTGATAAATATGCTATGCATATAAAGTGATGATTCGCAGGTTATGTGACCAAAGCCTTGGTTTATTAAGTTAATTTTATGCTTTTATATATTTTATACAATTTAAATATTGTTTTGATCTTTTATGATTTATTTGTTTTTTAAAATGCCTTACTTATTTTAATATGCCTCACTAAGTGAATATTTAGCGTGTGATTGTTTCACACGTAGGTAATACCGTATGATCAGAGTGAGGAGTTTAGCTGGTATCATCTATTAAGAGTTGCCTCTTCAGTAACAATATGACATCTCTTGATGTTCTTTTTATATTACTAGTTGGCATGTACTTAGTTATGTTATGATTCTCTGGTAAGAGTAGCTGAAATATGGTTTGTAGTATTATATTTACTATGTGATAGATATAAATGCTATTTTATATATATTAATAATTAAATGACATTTTATATATTATTTTATTAAACCGTATCATTTAAAGAAACATAATTTTACTGTTTTTCAATTATGAGAAATGTTTTAAAAAGCACGTGGCATCTTTGACTCGTGTTCGGGGTCGTAAACGGGAAAGGGGCATTACAAATCTAGTGGTGTGGTCGGAGGAATTTTACGTGCATCTCAGATGACACACTAACCTACGTTGAATATGTGATAGCGTTGGGGTAAGAACTAGAATTTTATGTGTATCATAACTTACATACCTAGTCTATCTTGAATACTAGAGGGTCTCGGGGTAAGAACCTAAATTTTACGTGCATTAGAAGCTTATATCGCTAGCCCACATGTATTCTCTAAAGCATTGGGCGCGATCCAAAATTTTATGTGCATCAGATGCTCACGTCCTTTGCTTGTAAGCTCTTGAGTACTGAGGTACGATCCAAAATTTTACATGCATCAGATTTGTACGCTTGACAAACCTACTCAATCAAGTCTTGAGGTGTTCATGCCTATATGGTAGCTGAAGTGCCTAACACACTAAACAAACATTATATCTAGATACTACATCATGAGAGAATCATCATACAACTAAAGAGACTCAGGTGTCCTAACTGTTTCCCGAGTGTCAACAATAACCAGTCTTATGTCATCCTAACTGTTTCATTTCTAGGTGTGAATTCAGTTACTTTAGTTGTTTTCTCTTGTATTCGGGTACATAAAGCTTATACGACCTCAAAACCCTCAAATCCAAACACTTAAACCAATTTGGGCAAAATTTTCCATTTCATGACGATGATATCGATTTTGTGCCAGCAGTATCGATATTGACCCTTGGATATCGATACTCACCCTGAGCATCGATACCAAAAATAACTTTGAGGTTTAGGAAGAACCTTCGGTATCGATACTCTTATGGGGGTATCGATACTCTTATGGGAGTATCAATACTCCTCTAGGTAGGTATCAATACTACCCCAAGTACCGATACCAAAAATGGCTTCGATGTTTTGAAAAAAGCCTTAATATCGATACCCTTATGGGGAGTATCAATACTCTACCCATGATACTGATACTCCCATCAGTATCAGTACCAAAAATGGCTATTGGAATCTTTAAATTGCCATCGATATTGAAACCACCCTATGAGTATCGATACTCTTTGAGAGAGTATCGATACAACCTTGGCAAAACATCTTATTTTTACACAGCTTGAAGGACAATATCGATATTGTTCTTCCAGTACCTATACTCACAACCTGAAGTGTACTGTTAAGGCTAGTAAACATTATTAAAGTCTTATTTAAAGTTTTTGGAGTTAAAATGAGCCACCTTTCATTCTTACATACATCAAACATAGAATTTACCATGTATTTACTCTAGCATGATTCATGAGCTAAACTAACCATTTATGCACATATAATGATCTACAGTGGTATGGACAATTTGGAAACTTGTTACTACTCTTCACTTGTTGGGTTATTTGTTAAACTAACGTTCGAATCAGGTTTGCTACTTAATGGTGATACTTTAGTCATTCTCATCATGCATTCCATTGATTCACACTTGAATTAGAGAAACGACTGATACACTCTCTTCATGCATATGTCTCGTATAGGCTATTTCATTCACTAAGACCCATAAGGGTAATTTTATAAATACAACCCAAGGGCATTTTAGTGATCTCTCACACTCGAACTAGATACCCGATCTTAATCGATATTAAATTCCTCTTTCTTGAGTCTATTTGACATCATGAAGTCACTCAACCGTTTTAGGTATTGATATAATGTCTTCGATATGTATACTCAATCTTCAGTATGGATACCAGTCCTTCGGTACGTAGACTAGGGTCTTGAGACTGAGCATCCAGTCTCGATACTGAGCATCCAATATTGATACTAAAATCCTCAATATAGATACCAAGGGGTCGGTATCGATACCAACACTCCATTATCAATATCGAGGAATAAAAAGCTTGTTTTCACCTAGAACATGAACAATATTGATATTGTTCATACAATATCGATACTATCGCTCAATACCACATAGTGTTGCTCAAGAAACACCCCCAAACTCATTCTAAACACTTATTTAAAGGTGTAAGTTGATTATTAAAGCTTATGGAAGTTACAAGGGGTCATTATACATCATTTTTACACTAGAATAACATCCAAAATGTTCATAACCATAAATGAAGAACCCAAAGCCCACATGTTCTTCCTACCTCGTATAAGCAAGTACACTCATTTAAATGACATACAAGTTGTAAGGAAGAGTTATAGTGTGTTTCCTCGACTTTTAGCAACTAAAAAATGTCTATAGCTTACCCAAGGATTAACTTTTCCTTGACCTAGCTCAAATGGGGGGTTTCTTGCACCATTTTCCATCACTCAAAAGCTACGAACCGATTCCAACATGAAAATGAAAGACACTCGATATAAAAACTAAACTACATGAAAATTAAATTGAAATCATGAGAGGGAAGCTCTTGGAGCTTAAACCCCCCGAAAACCTAAAATGAGTTCATGACCACCATTGAAGGAGATTGTGAGCTCGTCTTAAAGCTATAATTTGAAGATTGTGAATCTCATCTTAGATTTTCAAATGGAAAGGAAAAGACTTTTACTATAACTTTTGCTATAACTTTTTCTTGGGTGAAGAGAAAAGAAGAAGAAAGAAAGAGATGAGATGAAGAGAAATGTACGAAAAAAAGAGAAAATGAGTATTCTTATTAACCAAAATAGGCCCACGTGAAACAACAAGAATCTTCTCCATATCAGCCATATTTTTCTTTAACGGTACAATTACACTCTAGGTCCTCGTGCATTATTTTTAAGTTTAAAAAATCTTTTTTTTATCTTTTACAAGGCTAATTTCTTACCCAATTAAACTCAAATTCAAACCAATTGACCCTCATGCTATAATGAATATATTAAATAAATTCATGGGTCGACACAAAACTGTTATACCGATATTCGAGGCTTTACAAATTATCTATTTTATATTTTTATAATAACTTATATTTTTTTTATTTTTTGCACCCATGAATGCTGTCTAGACTGCTGCAACATTTCTTCGAGTCTTCTTACCTAGTATGCCACAGTAAGTCTCCACTTCTCCTTCGACCATATTTACCGGCACATCATCGCTAGAACAAACTACTTTTCCCTTAAGAAACACAAAATTCATGAACAAAATGTAGCAAAACAACACCACTATATGCAAATACAAGGGTTTAAATGCAACTATATGCAACTGTATACAACTAAATGGGCTTTAAAACAAACAGTAACCTAAGTAAAAAGGCACATAATATAGCCTTTTTATGAGGTTATAAATCCTACTCTAGAAGATACACCCAACTATCATACCATTCTCTTGTGGGGACCAAGATAACTTTCTCATCTCACGAAGAGATGATAAAAGGGCTTGTCATTCAAGTATGTATAAGAGCAAACAAAATGGGGTATTTATTGTGTATGGAATTGTAAAACCAATTAGATTGCACTTCTATTAAGGATATTCAATGATGATCATAATCTTCACAAATAAGATAGCGGAGTATATGGATTTAGTTTAGGTAAGTTGCTTGGGAATTGAACTCTAAAGATAAAATTTTATGACTCTTGATGACACCCATACTTAACAGGTTCTTCTTTATGAGCTTAAAAAATCAAATGCGTATACCCATAAGGTTAATAAAGTATTTTCATAAGGTAAGTGTAATAAAACTGAGGTATTTTCTTAAAGTAATTGGTTATAGAGGTAACTCAAAAGCCTTGGTTTTATGAATATGTTACGTTCAAAACATGACATTGGTTGGATACTTGGTAATTCGATGTTTGCTCCACTGTGGTTGTCAAGTTGAAGACTCTATGATGAGATGAATCCCTTAGCTACGCCTAAATAAGGGCAAATGATTAAAGTTGAAAAATTTCAAGCAATAAAGGCAATATTGCCTAGGGTTTTGATTAATAAGGAGTTTCGATGAACATATTCTAAAGGAGTTGAGAAACACTTGTTATAGTCAACTTCACACAAGAACTCAAGAATTTTGTTTTTAGACTAATATTTATGCAATACTTCTACTGAAGGAGTCTACGAAGCTTGAACAAATGAAAGATTTTAGAGAACCAAAGTAGAATTGTCCTAAAAGGTATATCAATTAATATGCTAGTTGTGACATTTTGTCTACATCTAATTAAAATACCAAGCTGAGAAAGAGGGAAATGTCATAACATTCACAAGGACTAAGAAATGAATGACATTTCGTTGACTCAAACCCTAGAAAAAAAATAGGAAGCCAACCTTAAACCAACCCATTAATCCTGACACTTGTCAAAGAGTTAAAACTTTGAAAATTAAAAGTGCAGTTGATTATTTTGATATTTAGTGAACTCATGTTTTGTGATTTGCTTTAATTGTGAGCCTAAGAAGGGGAATTATTTTTTTCTTAAATAAACTTTTCAAAAGAAGAAAAATATTTTCAAACAAGATAGTTTCCCTAGAATGGTATTTTGGAAATTTAACAAAGGTCTCTTAGACTTAGAAGTTCAGAATCATAAACTAGGAAAAAAGGAGTTGAACGTTAAAGGGTAATATTGTTGGGGGTAAGAGGAAAAATTTGTCACGAGTCAAGAATCGTAAAGGTATGCTCTATTATGAAAAAGAATGAAGATGAACAAATCAGGAAGAGAATCAAGACAACTTGTGCATTTTTCATCGTCATTAATCAGGAAAACATGTATATAGATGGTTTTTCATCTTTGCATCAACCATCCATCATCATGTGCAACCATCTTGAATGTTTTTATGAACATGAAGTTGAAATTCATTTCAAATATTTTATCTTTATTCCTTGAAATCATGTCTTTCTTAGGAATATTTCTTCCTTTCACGAGGTCAAATTCAAAAATTCATTTTTATTAAAAGATCAAATACACGAGATGAATCTAGAACCTCAATAACCTCAAAATTCATCATCAATTCATGAAACTCTAACATGAACATAAACCATAGAATTTGGGATCTTTGAAATCAAGCAAGAGTAGCATGCAATATTGGTACCAAATGGTAGCGTTTTTCGAATAGAACAATTTTCTATTTCACGTCTTAATCCAAGATCCAAATGAAATTGCTCAAAAATGAAAAATAAAATTTCTCTCACCTTGGAATAGGGTACACATCCATGGAGGAAAAATGAATAAGCTTCATGAAATTTCTCCATAATTTTCATGTTAATTTATCATGTATTTAAGCTTAAATGAATTTAAAATTCATTTAATGAGAAATGTCCATTTTGCCATTAATGAAACTTGACATTTAACTTAATACAAAGCCAAACAACCCTTTTCATCTTTATAAATTCAAATATGAACAAATTAATTCAACCTTTACAACTTTGACCATGTAATATTTTCAAAATTTCAATCTTGCCATTTTTCATCCAACGGTTCAAAATGAGCATGAAAATAAATTCACAAATCCAATGATCCATAATATTTCCATCATTTTAACATATGGACATAATATTTCTAAGCTTCATTTAATTTCCTTCAACTTTTCCCAGAATTTCTATTTGATTCGATTTACCGAATTTTACCGAAATTCAACACTTTATATCTTTTAACACAAATTCCGGATCCAAAGTCTGATTCTCACCAAATCATCATTATTGGGGTGAATTATTCATTTTTGGGGTCAAAATACATACTTTTGAAAATTATATTTGTTGTCCTTAAACTTTTTTAAAATAACCTTTTTGGTCCTTAAACTTTTCCAAACTTTATACTTTACTACTAAACTTTCAAAATTTATATTTTGGTCACTAACTAAAATTTTGGGGTATTACAATTCTTCCCCTTAAGAAAATTCATCTTCAAATTTTCAATACACACATGCTGAAGACAAATGAATGTACTGTTTTTTTCATATCATACTCTCTTTTCTAACTAGCTTTTCCAACTTCTGATTTCATAAGTCAAGTTCTGACAGAATCTTAATATCATCCGATATGACAACATGAGAAAGATCTGATCAATACTTTTAGAAACACTTATCGCCATTTAAAAAAATACCTCTTTTCTTTTTAAATTTGAATGAGACTTTTGTTGATCGACAACTGTCTTGAGATTATCTTAAATAATCTTTACTAGTTACAAAGTCCATTGTAACCCGTTCTTATTCCCACTAAGGGATATAAATTGATTACAATAATAAAAAAGACACTTGATGTTGTACTTTAACTTGCTGATATGTCATCCATTTAGAAAAAAACTCGGTGATAGCTCTTTTAATATCTGCCATTAATATTAACTCTTTTCTTGATAATACTAGCATCCATCAGACTTAATTTCAAAGTCTCTGGCTTCACCTCTTTTCACTTGTTCTATCTTTGTCAAGCATAACAATTTTCATCCTTTCTTTGAAAATCCTTTACTCGATCTTGTAACACATGCTTTAACTTTAGTTCTGGAATCAAAACATCACATTTCTTTAAGACAACCACAATATTCAAAAATCTCAGAACATAAATATATTTTGGCTTTATCGTATCAGCCACCACATTAGCCTTTCTTGTGGCAGTCAATAAGCACATCATCATTTTGTAAGGAATTCAATTAATTTTCTTTATTTTCACTCCTTTGAGTTAACACCTACTTGTTACTTTTGAGAGCCATATAGACATAGCATTACTCACCATATAGATAATGGTATTTTATAATGAAGTAAACACGACTGTTACCAACTTGAGATTATGAATCAGATGATTTCTTTCACGGTTCTTTAGTTTCTTGGAAAAACAAGCCCTAACTTTTACTATTGCATTAACATGCATCCCAAACCATTATGAGACTCATCATTGTATATCATATAATCTTTTCTAGATTCTGATTATACTAACCTTAGAGATTATGCCAGTATTATTTTTAACATCTCAAAGTTTTCTTGTCACTTATCATTCTAATTGAATAACACGCAATTCCTCAATCGCTTGACCAGAGGGAAGACAATCAACGAAAAGTTATTTATGAACCTTCGATAGTAACCAAAATGTCTCAAGAAACTTTAAAATTCAAAAACATTCTTTGGACTTGATCATTCAACTATAGCTCATGCTTTATTGAGATATTATTCTTTTCCCTCAGCTTAGACCACATGGACAAGGAATACAACCTTAGACAACTAGTATTTATACTTTGTCAACTTAGCATACCATTGTTCTTCTAAAGAGTTGGAAGAGCTAAGATATACATCGTGTTCTTCCTTAGTCTTGTAATAAATCAAAATATCACCAATGAACACTACCCCTAATTAGTCCAAGTATAACTAACATACTCAGTTTATCAAATCCATGAATGTCATCAGAACACTCATTAAACCAAACAACATTACCACAAACTCGTAGTGTCTATATTGAATTTTGAAAACTATCTTAGGAAGATCTTCTTCATTGCATTTAATTAATACTATCCAGATAAGTGATCAATCTTCGAGAAAATCAATGTATCTTTTAACGGATCAAAAGATCATCAATCATCAGGAGAGGATAGTAGTTCTTTTATGTTACCTCATTTTGACTGATAATAATCCATGTATAATTACATAGACTCGTCTTACTTTTCTCAGATAACATTGATGCTCTCAGATGGCACACTTATTCTTATAAATCCTCGATCTACGATTATACTAAACATGCCTTTAATTCTCTGAGCTTAATCGAATCCATTTGATGCGAGGCTATAGAAATAAACACAATACATTATAAAAATCTCTATTTTAATTTCTACCTCTCATTGAGAGGTAATCCAGGTAACACTCCTAAACAACATATGGATACTCTCAGATGGTTGACATTTCTCTAGTTTAACTTTGAAAATTTGAATATGCACCCTTTTTACTAAGAAGGCTTGACAACCTTATAGCAATAACTTTGTAATAGTCACTGCTAAAGTCACATTAGAAAATCGATTTAATATTTTTCCTTACCACTAATATATCAAAGCTTTTTAGATTTTTTAAAATCAATTGCTTTAAGCAATTATTCATTATGTCATGGTATGAGATAACCAATCCATACTGAAATTACCTCATATTCCTCGTAAGGTAAATCTGTAAAGTCTTTTAAAACTCAACACTTTGAAACCTTAACAAACAATTATTGTCTACAAATATGACTCACCCTCGAACTCTAGCTTAAAAGGGTTAGTCACACACATGTCACTTAGGATCAATTCTCTTAGAATGTTCCATTCTTTAATCAATATTATACTAATATATGAACAATGATTTCCTTAAAATTACATTGGCACTTTCTATTGTGCCGATGTATTAACTTATTTAGACTAAACAGTAGAATGATTAAAGTGTTGAGTTTTGAAAGACTTTGCCCATGCAATCATTCAAAATTTTCAATTTTGATTTTCTCTGATTAATTATTTTATGATAAATGTTATTTTCAATTTCACGTGATTAAATTATTTATGTTAAATTGTCTGATTTCCAAAGAAACAAAATTTTTATTGCATTTTCAAATAACAAATGTTTTATACAGTTGATATGACATCTCTAACTTGTATACGGGAATGCATACAAGTTAAGGGTATTACAATCTAAATTAAGCATGTCCACCAAAATTTTTTAGGGATGTATAACATTTGCGATGGAGAGAGATAAAAAACAAGAGGACCAACAGGAAAGGCAAATGTTGTTACAAATACATGTAGTCGGAAAACTTTTGCAGTTTTACGAGTTATGGATGCATGACTAGTGTTGAAAGAAATGGCATTGTTGGCCGAATAAAAGATAAAGCCAATGTTTTTAGATTGAAAATAGAATTGCAAAGGAATGATGAAAATTTCTTAGTAATAATTGCACAAGTAGAAAATGACGAGATTAAGGACTTTTGAGGTCAGGTTCGATGGATGTTTGTACTATTGTGGGAGACTTTGTATTTTCGACGATGAAGATCTAAAGAAAGATATTTTTTGGGGCATTAAGTCAGTTGAATATGAATTCAGGTGGAAACAAGAAGTACCAAGTTTTAAAGAGTCGATTTAGTGGTCTGGCTTGAAAAGAACCTTATTGGAAATGGTGGAAAAGTGTCTGACGTGCCAATTGAGGAATGATTAACATCAAGTATCTTCTGGATTATTTCAATCGATCTTGATTCATGAATAGAAAGTGGAAACAAGTCACTGTGGGCTTTGTTACAAGGCTACCTTTGACACCTAGTAAAAAAGACTCAATATAGGTGATTGTTGATAGATTTACCAAGATAGTTCACTTCGTTTTGGTACGAACATATTATTCGATGGATAAATATGATGAGTTATACATTAAGAGATAGTTCGGCTGCATGGAGTGCCAATATCGATTATATCGGAAAGAGATCCAAGATTCACTTCAAGATTTTGGAATTTCTTACATAAAACTTTTGGTACTCGATTGAATTTCAGTACACTATTTTAATCTCTTATTTTTCTAGTTAAAGTGCTTTGGTAAAACAATAGTCTTAAAATTTGAGCACGAATTTTCTTAAGGGGGAAAATTGTAATACCCCAAACATCGGGTCAGTGACCATAGTCAAAGGATTTAAAAATTTAGTGGGTTAATTTAAATAAATTTAAAAGTACAAGGATTTAATTTAGAGATTTTGTTTAACATTTATTAGTAAGAATGGAAGAATACAAGGGCATTATGGTCTTTTAGAAAAAAAATGATTTTATTATTCATTTTATTTGGGATATTTATTAACGGTTGAATAGTAGAGAAAGGGAAATAAAGCTAAAATTAACTTGGTTAACTTTTCTTCTTCTTCCCATCGACCCTGTGCCCTCCATAGCCAAGGTAAAATTCCTTCAAGTTGGTTTTCCCTTTGATTTATGGGTTGGTTTTGAAGACTTAAGTGATATAGAAGCTTAAGGACAACTTAAGAGTGAATAAAACTAGGAAATTAATGATTTATTAGAGATTTAATAAAATGGGGTTTTAAGTGATTTGATGAAATAGAGTCAGTTATTGGAGTTTAAAGGCATATTTGACTTATCAAAGAAGTAAATAAGAGATTGGAAGCCTTAGAAATGGTTAAAAACATGTTTGGAATTTGGGTGTGATTCTTAGTTTTGAGTGGTTTTTGGAGATTTTGGATGTTAAAAGGAAATTTATGGATATAAGTTAGTATGGATAAGTGATATTGAGTTTAATGGTATGGCTGGAGAAAAGTGTACGAGATTTAGGAGAATTTGTGTAGAATTCAAAGTAAAAGAGGTAAAATATGGGTAAGGGTATCAACACTGTAAGAACAGTACCGATACTATAAGGTTAAATTTGAGGAAAGAGGATGAACACGATGAACAATATCGATACTGATACAAGTAGTATCGATACTGATGTGGATGTATCGATAACAGAAGAAGGTATCGATATTATGATTTGAAAAATGGATTCCAGAATGCTAGAATGGTATCGATACCGAAGTGGGTATCGGTACCATAGAGAAGTATCGGTACCAAAGGAGGGGTATCGATATTATTCAGTCTAAAATGTTAAGTTAGGGTGAATTTTAATAGAATTCAAATTTAATAATACTTTTGAGTATTATACTTTGGATAAATGTTAGTAAGTATACTAACATCATATTTGTATGTGTGATTATGAATGCTTGTGTATAATGTAATCAAGCTCATGAGTCAAGCAAACAGAAAGGCAATGATACAATCGCAGAATAGTCAGACTACATTTGAGCATTATAGTAATGCAAACCAGGTGAGTGCATTTATTCTGTACTTATATGTTATGATAGTCATAGATGCATCTTGTTTAATGTATATATTGTGAATTACCGTATTGGCACTATGTGGGTAACCTAAGTAATTCATAATTAGTCTGTGGTTTATCGTATTGACCCTATGTGTGAAACTCTACGAAATTCATAACGAGTTTATGAATTTCCATATTGGCACTATGTGTACAACCCCACGAAATTCATAATGAGTTTATGAATTTCCTTATTGGCACTATGTGTGCAACCCCACGAATTCATAATGAGTTTATGAATTTTTGTATTGACACTATGAGTGCAACCCCACAAAATTCAAAATTAGTTTATCAATTTCCGTATTGGCACTATGTGTGCAAGTATTGGCACTATGTGTGCAACATACGTAATTCACAATGAGTTTGCAAATAACTGTATTAGCACTATATATGCACCCCAAGGAATTCAAAACGAGTTTATGAATTTCCATATCGACACTTAGGTGCCAATTCATGCACCATGCATTCTTATTCAACATATATTGAGCAAATAAAATAATAATTTAGATAAATATTGATTGATAAGTATGTTGGGCATATCTTATCCAAAAAAAAGTATGTTGGGCATACTAAATACGGTTTCATAAGTTATGTGAAAGAAACTTGGTTTACCAAGCCAACTTTATGATTTATACGAGTTAATTTTGATTTTTATATTTATGATATACATAAGTTTTGATTTCACTTCATTATTATTATGCCTCACGAAGTGAATACTTAGCATGTGATTGATGTTCACATGTAGGTTGATAACTCCGTAAAAAGACAATATTTATGGCTTTTTCA